GACCTGGTGCGATGTGATCAAATCTATCTAGAAATTTCCTCTGGAAGGCTGCCCAATTGGTGAAGGGGTTATGTCCATACCACTCAAAAGCGGTTTTGGCTAACCTTCCGGGAATTCATTTTTGGAGCAACTGGTCAGACCAGCCCTGGGCTTTCAAAGCAGCTAGCTAGGTGCGAGGGTCGGTGTCATCTTCGGAGAAAATGGGAACTTCTGAAGGAGGAGGGACAAAGTACAGGGGATAATTGGCCATCACCGCGTGGTTATCACCGTCGTTTTCACCCCCAATTCCAGGTTCCACCATCGTGGGAGGCGGGTTTCGAGCTTGGCCTCTCGCTCGGTTCTGATTGCTATTCGTGGACCTACGTTGACGGGAAGCCAGCCTACTCAAAAATGCGAAAAAAAGATCAAAAGGAAAAAGAAAAAAAAAAGAAAAACTTTAAAACAGGGTAATCGTCCTAGGAAAACCTTGGAGACCAAACGAATCAGCTCTGATACTTACCTCGCGACCCTCGCGGCTTCCCGTACGGGGTCGCCGATCAGAGTTCTAGGAGAGGCGTGGCCGAGGACTTTTGCCCGTAAGGGTTGAGTCTCCCGGACGGAACGGGAGGCCCTCGTTTCGTGCCAGAGGTTTTCCCCGGAGTCGAACTGTCATCGCGGAGTCCCGTGGGGGTCGGATCACTCCGAAACGATAAAATCAAAAAGGTTTCCGCAGAAATGAACAGCCGTCATGCATCGGGATGGAAAGAGGCATCAAGGGGAGAGGGCCATGGAGGCGGAGGACAAAACTTCGGCCGTCAAGGGCTTGGGGGATAGGTGGTGGGTTCGAAGCCTTCAGGCCTCATCATCGGCCTCACAAAGTGGCCGAACCCTCGGATCTTTGCTGTGGAGGTGGTTGGTTCGAGGCCTTCAAGCCTCGGCGTCGGACTCACAGAGTCCGCGCGAAAGTTTCTGGGAGTGTAAAGCGGCGGGAGGACTCGCCGACATCTGAATTCGAAATTGCGCGGGCAGCGCCCCCGCACTACGGGAAAGCTCGGGGAAATGTGTTGCTCCCTCGTAACCCAGGTGGCCACGCTGTGCACGAAGTTTGGTGCCACCTGGAGCGCGCGAAACTCAATGAATACTCAGGTCATCTCTCGGCCAGGCAACTGCGTCACGTCCACGTACACCCCCGCATACGTCAGCCGATCGCAAAGCAACGAGTACGCCGCCAAATCAGCAACCCTGGGCGCTGGCACGTTCACCTGCTGGATGTCGTACCGCAACTGCCTTTCCTCATTGAACCGATGCCACAGCAAGCGATCTGCAAGCGGCGTCTGGAAGTGCTCGAGGGGCTCATGCTCCGGCTGGCGATGGTTCATCCTGCTCCCTGAAACTCTCAGCACCAACGGACGAGCCAGATCGGGAAGGGTAGGAGGATGAAGAAGGAAAGGCTCGCAGGAGCGGGGGTCCGTAGGGGACCTAGCGATGGTTGGAAGGGCCGGAGCGCGGCAGCGTTCCGTGTCAGAGGTCGGGCCTGGGAGTTGTGAGGGGAATCAGCTTCACGGAGTGCTGTCCCTGTGCGCCAACTTCCGTGACCTCGTAAATGCTTGT